TAATACGCAATCATGTCAAGAGACTCTGGATCAGCCTTGGACGGCTGGGCAAGAAACGCGCCAAACCCATGTTCGGATGCATTCACATGAACTACGAATTCCCGATCGAAGTCTGGGAAGTGTAGAACGGGCGCTGAAGTTAATAACTGCTTTAGATGAGCGAACGATGTGTCGTGCGATTTGTTCCAAGCTTTTACGAAACGTGATTGTGTGGCGTACTCATTGCGAGTTAACTCCACCAACGGATTGGTTATTTCTGCATAATCCGGTATGAACCGGCGCACAAAATTAACCACGCCGAGTACTGAGCGAAGATCTTTTAGGCAACGAGGAGTAGGAAGGTTTTGGACGGCTTTGATACGATCCTTCCCGACAGAAATACCTTCAGCCGAAATAATATGTCCCAAATACTCGATGGACTTGGGGCCAAACGAAATCTTCGAAGGTTTCAATGTCAGACCTGCTGCTTGGAGAGCTACGAACATGCTCTCCAAAGACTTCATATGATTCTCGAAAGTTGCTGAAAGCACACAGAAATCATCCATGTAAATCAACAGTTCGGGAATATGACCTAACGTTTTATGGGCCATCTCAGTAAAAATCCATGGGGCATTACAAACACCAAACGGCATCCGCTTGTAACAGTACTAGCCAGAGTTGGTAACAAAGGCTGTCCTTTCGACGTGGTCAGGATGAACAGGAATCTGCCAGTACGCTGACTGGACGTCTGCAACGCTGATGAACTTGGCGCTGCCGACAGAGTCAAGGTTGGACTCCATGTTCGCTAGAGGCCAGGTCTTGCGAATGAGGTGCTTGTTGACGGTGCTTCGGAAATCGACGCAAAAACGAGGTTTACCATCTTTACGCGCGACGAGAGTAACGGGGGAACCCCACTGACTAGGCAGCTCTTCGATGATGTCATCGTCAAGCATGTCCTTAACGCACGTTTGGATAACGGCTTCAGTGTGCGGGTTTGCGCGGTAGGGACGACGGTTAACCAGTTTTGTGTTAGGCGGCATAGGAAACGTGGCTTGAGCAGTTTTGCATTTTCCAAGCTCCTTACGATTCAGCGAAAAAACGGGACGATATTTTGCACACAGGTCCAAAATACGAGTTTGCTGTTCCTTAGTGAACGTGGAATTTGCGAACGCTTTCGACAGCGGTTCTACCAGCTCAGCTTTAGCAGCAGCAATTTCACTCGCGGTTTTTGGAGACAAGGCAACAGCATGGACGTGAAGCTGTTCCTGTGCTACCATAGTAATCGGCGATAAAGTTCCAATATCCAATCCAACATGTACGGCGAGATACTCAGCTGATGGATTCGCAATTTGGACAACTACCGAACCATCAACAGCACTCCATGTTGAGACGGTACGAGCCACGATTAAACGCTCAAATTCGGGCGGAACAGTATCGAACGAAAGTTCATCTGCCGACAAAATACGCGGCTCGACTACTACGGCGGTATCAACGGACGGTATGCATTCAGTAAATGCTTTTACGATCATCGCATGACGAGGGCGAATATTATAACGTTGACGTAATTTGACTGAGTGTTCTTCCGCATTTCGATGAACGGCTGCAACACGGGGGGACGGCGACGGATCATAACCGTGTTGAGATTTTTTACGATGAATAGCGGGGACAATAGTGTCACTACACTCAAAAGTCAAACGTTCATTTTTCCAGTCAAGTACTGCCCCAAACCGAGTCATTGCCTCATTGTCTAGGAGTATTTGATCAGGACCGAGCGATGGTACGACCAACGCATCGATTCGGCGGGACACGTCTCCCAACCGAACAACGAACGAAATAAATCCTAAAACTTTGACTGGTGCACCATTTGCGGCACTGAGTTTTAGGGACGGAGACGGTATTGGCTCTAAAAGAGCAAACGATAACGATGGGTCAACCCATTTTGCCACAGAGCTACTCTGTCATGCAATTCCAAGCGGTACGACTACCATCACGCTCGACGGCAGCTTGGAACCGTGCCATGACAGTACGGAAACGGAGAGCATACGAGGAAACAGATTCCTGTGGCCCTTGAACGAACGTTGCGAGATTGTGTGCCTCCTCCTCCACGGAATTTGCGGGAAGAAGTGAATCAAGCAAAACAGAACACATGGCATCCCACGTGGTCAGAGGGGGAAACGACCCTTTTTCCTCCGGTTCTGTGAACGTGCTTGCCTTAGAACAGTCTATCTGTCCAGACAAGATCTGCTGTATCAGGGTCAACACTTCTCCTGTTCCCACCAGGGCAACGTGCTTGAGTGCAACCCCATCAGCAAACGACGAATCCATGTTGACGGCTGCGGCTTTCAGCCCAACCACCGTACGAAAATGTTTCAAGATTTCGATCACGTTTTCTGTACGGTCTCCAGTCAGCTTGGGAACGCTGCGGAGGTCAGCCGCGGATATTGAAACGGTAGCTGCTTGTAGAAACGTACGAACGGGGGATTCGGTCGCTACAGCAGTCGCTGCCACCTGTGACATTGAGGTAACAGGTGGTGTGACGACGGACGATTGCGCATTCATAGATGCAACCTGTGCTGTTGAAGTAACAGGTGACGCTACGATGGACGATTGCGCACTAGTAGGTGCAACTTGCAATGTTGAACTAGCTGTAGTTGCACTACTAGTCGTACACGACACCGAAGTAGACGTGTTGACGGGCGCAGTGAGCGACGGACTCGGCGAGGGATTTGATCCACTCGTTGCCTGCGCGGACGGAACGAACGATGGTGCTCCAGGGAACAACGGTGTCAGCCTGGGCAACGACGGAGCCAAAAACGGAACGCTTGAACTTACTGCTGGAGTTGCAGTTGCACTCGTTCCACGAGACGAGGCTCCACGAGACGACGTAGCTGACGCTGTTGCGACAGACGATGAAGCAGGCACCGACTCCGTTAGGAGACGCTGCTGCCACGCGACAGTAGCTGGCGAGAGCTCCGGAGGAGTCTGCCTACGCCGCAACGCTCGGAGGTACGCTTTCACCTCCTCCTTGCATGTTGCCTCCAGCAACTGCAAGGACGATAGCCGGTCCACACCATCATCATCATCCGATGACGGGTGCGACCGATTCCCCTCGGCTTCCGAAAAAGAGGACGACGACGACGCTGGAGACGGCGACGACGGGCCGGCGGACGACGCTGGGAAGTGGTGGTCTGCGTCCTCCCCTTCCGGCTCGAAGTCGACGAGCTGCTCTTGGTCCCCTTCCTCTTCCTGGAAGTGGACTTCTCCAGATTTTTTCTTTCTTGGTTTACGATTCCCCATGATGCTGGACACTGCCGCAAGGTAGTGCCACCAACGCAAAAAGAACTCTACAAACACACGGAACGCCGCTGACGCCACTTTGAGACTGTTGTCTCCAGGTTCGCGTGTGAGCAAGTTCCCTTAGGGATGGGCGGTGTGGATACACACCGGATCAACCTCTGGTGGAGAGGCTGATGTACGGAACGTTGGGTCGAGTGTGTGTGTGAGACAGGTGGAGATCAACCTTGTGTTGAAGCAAGGTTCAGCATCCAACCTGCACTGACTCTATCTGTGGTAACACCCCGAAGGTAGATCTCCGACAGGTCATCTGACGTCACATTCTACGACAGTCTGAGGTGGCATTCACTCTTTTCTCGATTTGGCCGCGCCTTTTGTCGAGACTTTTAAGAGTTCCAAGGTCGAACAAGTGTGATCTCAGCATTGGTAGACGGAGACGGACGTTTCTATGGCCGACTCCAGTATGCACGAACGACCACTCCTTACGGACGGACACTTTTGGCTCGAGGAGTTTGCCCAAGCTCCATGCATAATGTACAACATTGCCGACCTGTGGGTACTTCCGTCATGAGCTCTTGCGACCTGCACAATCCGAAGACACCCATGAAATTAGAACAAATCATGCCGACTACCTAGTGCGCACACGCTACAATCTCCTACCGACCCGTGTAGTATCGATCACCTGTACAACAGTTAGATGTCGGTGGTGAGAAGTCTATGCCCGGAATGCCTGCGTCTCACTCAATGGACCATAATCCCCATCTCTCAATATACCCACGAGCCATGTAGTTGGGAAGCAAATCCGCGGGCTCGCTTGTCTAAGACACAACAAGGACCATGCCGAGTATCACGTCGATACTCCGCTGTAGGTCTTGATCGAATGCAACAAATGAACAGGTGGTTTAGATCAATGAACACCCTCGTTTATCTCACGCTCCTGCTAAGCTCGTACATCCCACACCTCGTCCCAGAATTCTGCGCTGCTTTCCAAACGTAGGAGTGTGATCGGAGCCATCGACGGGAGTCACATCAAGATCCTGGCGCCACCAGACTCGCTCCAGACCTCGTACTACAACTACAAGCATTTCTACTCCATTTCGATGTTCGTGGGTCTGCGAACATTGGTGTTGGACACATGTGCTGGATGATTTTGTGTCACGCAGACTGGTAAGATTACCGTTTTGGTAGAGGGCACCGCGATGATTCACGGGGCCCCTCCTTGCTGTGGGAGCCGCTCTTTGAGCACTCCCTCTTTCGTTCGTGTGAAGGACGGTCGTTGACCTCTAATACATCACCACAACAGTCTCACCCGATAAATAAGTGGCGTAGGCCGCAAACACTCTAGAGTTTGCCCCTCGAGGGAAGCCACATCGGGATGAGCTCTGCTGGCGACGAAGAGCGCGCTGCTGCGAGCGGAGAACAGATCCGCCCGCCAGTGCAGGAGGGCCGCGACGCGGAGCTTGCAAGGTTGCAACGGCAGATTTCGCAGTTGGCGGCCCTGGTGGAGAAGTCGCTGAAGAAGAAGGAGCCTGGCAGCGTCGTGGCGGATGCAGCCAGTAGGGGTGGCTGGGTTGCTGCCCCCAGAGGCCAACGAGAAGAGCCCACGCTGCCGCTCGGCGGTGGCGGGGGATTTCTCCAGCAGCAAACGAGAGATAGTGGGCAAGGACCACGGTCGCTGCTGGAAGGCGGCTGGGCCAGCAGATCGGGAGCGAACCCTGTTGGACCAGCCGGAGTGGGCCCGGGCATAGGACCGGACTACGGGGAAGCGAGGGGGTTAAACCCCCC